AAATTCATGACGACATCGCTGCTAAACATATTCCCGAAAGATGAGATTGCATGCACTCTTCTGTACGTTACACGAATTTGATACACTGTGCCGTGAGCTTCAGTTCTTGCATATTGCCACACATCATCTTTGTACAAATCCTGCGTTCATTAAAAAGTTCTGCTTTTTTGTCGGGATGATGACTCATGCAAATGCACCGTCGCTGTATTTTTCAATTAAATATTGAAAACTTAATCTAAGTTAAAACTCTTGTAAGATGTTCTGTTTTTGTTACAGCGTCTCAAGACCTGTAATCACTAAACTAGATATAATCACTAGATATAATCACTAGATGTAGTCACTAGATGTAATCACTAGATGTAATCACTAGATGTAGTCACTAGATGTAATCACTAGATATAATCACTAGATGTAGTCACTAGATGTAGTCACTAGATGTAATCACTAGATGTAATCACTAGATATAATCACTAGATATAATCACTAGATGTAGTCACTAGATATAATCACTAGATGTAGTCACTAGATGTAGTCACTAGATGTAATCACTAGATGTAGTCACTAGATATAATCACTAGATGTAGTCACTAGATGTAATCACTAGATGTAATCACTAGATGTAGTCACTAGATATAATCACTAGATGTAATCACTAGATGTAGTCACTAGATGTAGTCACTAGATGTAATCACTAGATCTTATCACTAGATGTGGTCACTAGATGTAATAACTAGATGTAATCACTAGATGTAATCACTAGATATAATCACTAGATATTATCACTAGATGTAATCACTAGATGTAGTCACTAGATGTAATCACTAGATGTAATCACTAGATGTAATCACTAGAGGTAGTCACTAGATATAATCACTAGATGTAATCACTAGATGTAATCACTAGATGTAGTCACTAGATGTGGTCACTAGATGTAATAACTAGATGTAATCACTAGATATAATCACTAGATGTAATCACTAGATGTAGTCACTAGATGTAGTCACTAGATGTAGTCACTAGATGTAGTCACTAGATGTAATAACTAGATGTAATAACTAGATGTAATCACTAGATGTAGTCACTAGATGTAGTCACTAGATGTAATAACTAGATGTAATCACTAGATATAATCACTAGATGTAATCACTAGATGTAGTCACTAGATGTAGTCACTAGATGTAATAACTAGATGTAATCACTAGATGTAATAACTAGATGTAATCACTAGATGTAATCACTAGATGTGGTCACTAGATGTAATCACTAGATGTAGTCAATAGATGTAATCACTAGATGTAGTCAATAGATGTAATCACTAGATGTAATCACTAGATGTAATCACTAGATGTAATCACTAGATGTAATCACTAGATGGTGTCGGATCTCGTGAGAGGAGTCATGAATTTAGTTCTGTTTTGTTCAACTGGCAACCAGTGCTTTTGGTTCCTGGAAGTTTAGTTTCACTGAGTGGGGCGGAAGCGACGGCAACTACACGTCCCTCTCCTTCTTCAACTGTAACATGAACGGGTGATCTGTAACGTGGAGAGATGACTTCGTCTAATTTCTTCAAATGACGGAAGGGGTTTCCCTCTTGTGTCGCAGCCATCATCTGAAGTTCAATCTCGACTGACTCTGCGGTTGTGATCGTGTCTAGTTCATATTGACTTTGCCCTATTTTAAACCTGACTTATGTTTTCTTCAAAGATAATTAGATTATGTTGATGGTATTTCGTCAGTGATGTAAACGAGCATTAAAACGAACTGTTTTACGGCGCACACAACACTATTCCAGCTGAACGGCGGTCTGCAATGTATCGCCTCTGGATCAGACAACTCAGTGATTGATATAATGAACAATAATCTACGGCGTCGGGGTACAATGATACGCTTGCCAACAAGTCATCTAGCCTGAACACTCCATCGATTTTAATAAACACAGGTTGCTAGCCTCCGGAACCCCTACGGGTGACCTCCCCTGGTGGGGCAGTTTAGGTTACACACAACCAAATGTTTTCCCATAGACTTCTATAGTAACGTTATACTTATAATAATTATTAAAAAATAACTAAGTATTCAACAGATATAACCTGTAACCTCAGTGCACCGACACATTTTGCTTGACTGAGGTTCCAACTTGGATTGATATGTAATGTCTGCATGATGTCAACTTTTCTTTAAACGGGAATAATAAATTGAGTAAAGTGATGTTACCATAATGAGATATGTAATGGAATTTGTTTTTAAGATTCTGTTTGTGTCCTTATTGCTGCGATTCGCCTAACTACAATATAATGCGTGTGATTTAAGGCCGATAGCACTAACAACAGCAATACATCACCTTGTGACACGTATTTCCCTAAATCTACGACAGATGTTAATCCCATTTAGCAAACACTGAGAATCCCGGATGTCTCTTGAAGACATGTGAGCAATACATTACATAGTTGTCACCACTTTTGTGATGAATAATTCACATAAACAACTCTTCTTTGTACGGGTCCCGCAATTTCAGTTGTATCATCTGGCCCAAAACCTTTGAACAGTTCTTGTAATGACCACTTGGCATCCATCTGTATCAACGTCAGTCATATTTCACAGTTCTTGCGGCAAGCCAATTGGTCCACAAGGTTAACTATGTGGTCTGGAGAGTTTCAACATCATTCACTATAAGTGAAATAAATGTATACATCTGAACCCCAACATTACGATCTCTCCTCAGCTGCTTTGAGTGAAGGGAGAGGTCGCTGAATGAGGAATGCCCACGTGTTTGTGACGGCGCTGTCACCGTAACGTGTGGTTTGTTTTGCGTTGCGTTCGCTGAATAATGGCGGTTACTTCATGCTTGAAAAGACAACATATGATCGTGATGGGTTATACGCAGTTTGAACAGTACTACAGTTACACATTACATACCATTCATGTATACTGTGTGCATGGCGTATCGAATCGTACATACTGCACATATGTTTGTAGAAAAAGGACGGTTGTTCAGTGTTTTAGTGGGTGTATGAGAGAGGTTCCAACGGTGGAGCAGAATACAGCCATCTTCTCACCTAGTGTCATCACCACTTGATAGTGATTCATGAACACATACTCACGATATAGTCAGAATCGTACAATCGACTGGAAAGGGTTTTGTCGCTTTTATCATTCAGGTTTTAGAGCCAAGCCTCAGTTGATAGTACTGAATCATGGTTTTAGCAGACTTCTTTCTCAGTGAACATACTGGCCTTATATGTGGCACTGTTTGATATATTACTTATACTAACTTCTGTCATTAAACAATTTATGTAGTGATGCTAACATATAATGGTTATATTATTTCAGGCCTTGTCAGTGAAAACAACTACAAACTTTTCATGTGGGGCAGTGATACTTTGGATGACAGCTGGCTGGAACAAAATTGTTTTAATCCAGTTCTGTTTCCTCCTTATCAGTTTATTTTTTTCTACTAATAACACCACGTGCTGAATTAACGTTAACCCACTCTGAAAGACATTCAACGAGTTCCTCATCCCGTCTAGTCCATTTGTGACATACACTTAGACAGCATAATGATTTTAAAGTTGTGATCCCCATTGATAGGAGGCTGCTCGCGATATATTGATCCATATTTGAATAAATAACGAAGGTTGATATTGTCAATAATAGAGGCGAAACGTAAAAACTCAACTTGAATGTGGGGATTTCGATCCATTGGCTACACGTTCCCACTGCGAGATAAACTCGGACACCAATCACATGATACCTATCATCTGCTATGTAGAATTACCATAATTACCATAATTACCATAATTAATGTGTTACACGAGATCCACACTGATCACTCATCATAAGCATTGTTCGTTTCAGAAATAGTACATTGTCAGACCTAAGCTTAGGTAGTCTCCTGATTATCACCCGATTAGATATATACATGATAACTCAGGAGCTTTCACAGCATCTGTCCACTTTCCATATGAAATGATTTATTCAAATTTATGTTCTACAGACCAATTTAAAAGCATTTAGACATTGCAGTTCATACGTCGAAAACAGATGTGCCATTATCATCCTGATAGCCTAGCTGCGATTCAGCGACAGTTGTTACAAATGATTGAAGACACAGACCTCGCCCTTGCAGAACCCCTTTAGAAACGGGCCACGTATCTTGTGTCTATAAACATCTCTTCGTCTATGCATCAAGTGCACATATTCCCACCGGGGAATTAGTTTTACAGACGTCGAAAGCATGTGCTGAACACATACTACTTAATTTCGATCCAATCGTCATGAAATAAGCTTGCTACCCAGGCGAAGGCTTGATCTTACTGTTGAAGTGCATCTTCTAGGCCATGAGCCGTATTACCGGACGTCGCGTGTGGCATAGCGGTAATGGCGTGAGTAATGATAGTTTTTCAAGAAGTGACTGTACGCAATGGCAAAGTGTGTCTCATGGGCATGCAATCGAGTAAATATACATTAGATGCTGTAGCAGAATCAGGCACAAGACAGGACTCAAGGTATCGTTTTGCATGGATCCACAGAAAGTTAGTTAGTTGAGAACATATACGTCATCTGCGACTACACCAACAAGACGGTGATGTGTATAGCTTGCAGAGTTTATGCATATCAGGACATTGATGTTTATGGATCCAGTCGAGCTGGTGCCTACTATGGCATCAGGAACTACCACTGTTCAATGGTCAGCAAGGTTGTCCAACAAGGTGACCTCATCAGTCTGTGGTCACCGCTCTTCACATATATATTTCGGTTGACTAGGCATTCGTAGTGCAACATTTATATAGCTGTCACATTGATCAAGTGTTTAATCGGATTCACTGTATATTATTCCAGCCCTCTGACCGGAATGTCAGAGCAGTTCTACACTGTATGCATTGTAGATTAAATATACACGTACAGCTGAATCCACAGACCTTTTTGCAGCTTCCCATAGCAGCACAAACACACACCCATTGGATAAACACGGAAACAATAAAGTCATACAAAAACAACATCTGTGCATTTCATATTTTATTTTCAGTTTATGACGGCTCGATTTTTGATGAAGATATTTTGTTTCTATCGGCAACATGTGTTGCCAATGAAAGGGTGACTGTCACAATGTATACACATTGGGTATTAAGTGGACTAGTGTTTCTGATGCAATGGAAAGCATGTTGACAATTTAGGGTATTGATCTGAAGTCAATCTACGCCTAGTTCACAAATGTTATCAGATTCGGAAATTACAAGCTGGCAAGAAACAAACTATGGCATGATTTGACATAGAAAACTTCAACGATACATTATTCAAAATATTTCAAATATAAAAGAATATCATTCGATTTCCCATGAATCTGAACTTGTGAAATCCTACATTTTAAGGGGATCACTCTCAACAGAAGGAAATAAGAACCAAACATAGTACTGTGAAGTTGGATTCAAACATCGATGTCGATAATTGATTGAACCCTTTCTAAGAATGTCTCGTAATGAATCCTAAAATGAACACGATGTGTCTTAAACCAAACCGGATACCTGTGACACGTCGATTCTTCTCTGATATAGAGCGTGTTGTTGCTACACTACTAATCACTGCTGCCTTCACCATCAGCAACATCATCTACTCCATCAGCCATACCACCAAGCACATCGTCCCTTAACTCCATCTGGTATCATAAACAACCAGGAAAACTACACACAGGACAAGGGACACGCGTAGTTAGTTTTCACATCAGGAAGGGGCATTTTCGGATTTTTTCCACCAATGCATAAATATCACGATATAAGAATATGCTCTCGACTCCTGATGTACCGTGAGCTCGGGGTATATACCAGTCAGAGAATCTATAAAAATGAACTCTCCTTATTGTGATCTTCACGGTGCCCATGACCAGTATCATACCTACCACGGGTAGTGTTATTCACACAAGTCTGTTGTTTCATAGTTGTAATACTGTGATATATTCATCGGCGCAATGACGAAAATACAATAAAAAAACGGAAAGAAAGTTGATGACTCAAAGACAGACACAATGGATATGGCAGCTCGACCACTGGTAGGTTTATATACACAAATATGTATTTTGTCTTTGGCGGAACAGCTCGACCGCCGAATGGCGTCGGCAGCAGTTTTGTGACAGTGTGAGTATAGTCGACGTACACTATCTCGAAGTACTGCTGTCTCGTGGAAGGATGGCAGTTTCTGTTTGAAACAACTGTATCAGGAACTATCAGACTTTACGACTAAACAGGTAGAGGTTTCAAACCCGACGGTCACTATATTTGGCAAATCCCTTGACATACGAGTACTTAACAAAATATGACTGATATGAGTCACTAATTATTCAACATATGGGTAGACAGTATGAATGAACGAGTTATTGGCCTAGACCCACTCTGACGTTGAAACACATATACTTTTTAACGTTAGTATTTGTCCTGTACCTAGATCCCACAAAATGACAACATGTGATTGTGGTGCGGGGTAACTGACATCTGTGGGAGATGTGTGTTGATTTCATGTAGTTCTGATTTGGTAATTCTCCTGTACTGCATTGTTTATGACCAGACATCAGAGGTCAGGATATATCCATTGGAAGCTCTCTAGGCTATAAATACATCGGGTATTCAATGAAGCAGTCTGCGTTGTGAGCTCCATACGGTTGATATGGAAATGTGTTTTAGTTGTACCCCGACCGTGATATGGTCATCATGTCTAACACTTAAGTATTGGTGCGTGTGATCCACCACGAAAACAGTAAGACTTCCTCTGTCTAAAATATTTCCGTCTCGATAATAAATCAAAGTCATGACATTTCGACAGCAAATATAAGTTCACAACAGATGGTCGAATATAATATCATTTGTTCTTGACGTCCCCGATGACAATCAATCAAGGGCTGCCATTCATGTATGTAAGATTCTGCCAAGCTCCATGTTGAAACCGTCACATAAATTGTCTGGTAGTTGGCAAGCTTCAATGTATGTTCGCTGACACAAGCCACTCTGTTATGTTTTAAGTATTCGATACATGTCAGTCAAATGTTTATTTGCGATGGCGACATCTGATGCAGAAAACACATGCCTGATGAATAACACGACTGTACAGCGAAAAACAGAAAGGCACTTTCACACTGTTCGCGTTTCATATTCAATATTGGAAGTTCTACATACTCATACGTTCCTGAACGACGACGAGAACCACCCACGTCTCATGTCCCAGTGCCAACGTCTCATGTAAACATGGTGCGTTATGCTTTCATCACGGTGCAGACGAATCGAGTCAGGCACTCCTGACGCAATAGAAACCAGCACTTATATTCGATCGTGTGACCATGTTCACGGTGTATATCATTGTAATATACATCCAGTTCTTTTGAAGCGTAAGTTTCTAGAGACTATGAACTTCGGCACATGTTACACCAGCGACCTCTCTGCCACAGCTTATTGTGAGTATCACGTTACTGTCGTCAACAGCGTTACCATGTAGACGAGTGTAATCAAATCACCACACATCACCGGAGCTGTCGAATCTCCCGTAGATCCAATCCAATTGTATTTATCTGATTTGTCTGCAACGGAAATGACAGTAGTTGAATCAATCAACACAATAGATTGAAGGCAACGATAGGTGGACCGTATGGTATAACAGAGATCATTAGGGGACTATCTTGAGGTTGTAATAGCAACACGCAACGCTGAGTAAGTAGTGACCACATTCTCCCGTTAGTCAATCACACTATTCACATTCACCCCCTCCCCCCAACTACCGTGTCATTGACTAAGTATCCCCGTAATCAAGGTACATGTTACAAAGACTCTTTAGGTAGGTAATTTAAAACTTTCATTGCAAAATCAGCTTCGAACGTCAATACTTACGTCTTTTAACGTTGTTTGTATATGCTGAAAGAAAAAGTGAAACTGGTTAGTGAAAGATATGTTCATGTCACAAAATATGAGAATTTAGGCTTTAAATCGAAAAACTGCATATTATGAAGTATAAAGTATTTCACTTTAGTTTAGGGTTTTGTTTGTGTGTTGTTTAACGCAATATTCCAGCTATATTCCGGCGGTCTGTAAATAATCGAGTCTGGACCAGACGATCCAGTGATTGATATCACGAGCATCTATCAGCGAGCCTTACAATCTGATCCCGTTAGTCAAGTTCTATTTTCCCCGGAGCTTCACGGGTCTATTTTACTTTTGACAGCGAATGTATATATTACCCATCATTTGAAATATGTTGTTGTTTGTTTTCATTTGAGAAAATTGCTTACGTAGATTCACTTAAATCTAGGTTATATTTTCACCAATATATGTTGCCTTATATTATTATTTTCATAACTGAATCTGTTTCGACAGATAATTGAGACAGGTTATTCTCTGGCCGTGACGTTTTATATATACGTAATACTTTACACTGCCACATATCCCAGGGCCCCGTCGAGTTCGCGACAATAGGTAAGTTGTCATAGTTACCATTCAAGACATTGACCCTTAAACTCGTGATCTGTAGCCCCGAGGTCCGGCATATGTAGACTCCTGCATCGTTCATGTCGGCGTTCTTGATCTCAAGAATGCTCACAATTGTCTTTGTTGTCAACGAAACACGTTTTTGAATAAAGATTCCGTTTCCGTAATTTGTAGATAGTTTATCCCCGTTTTTGAACCAGTCGAGGTCATCAGGGGGATGCTCTTCTCCAGTGGCGTTGCACGTGAGGTTTATCTTCTGGCCTTTCTCCACGTACTTCTCCCCGCTTATTCGTATGTCTGAAAAATACGGCGCATCATCATTATGTTTAACAAGAAGAAAACCAATCAATCATGGATGCAATAAGTATCCAAACAGAGCTCATAATGAGCAATCTCCTTGGACCTCGTTCAGCAAAGCGGCGCAACGCTGCGAGTGTCCCCATGAACCTACGTTAAGCTCTTACGTTACCACAGACGCCAAGCTTGTCGTTGCAGATCCGCTTGTACCCATATCGTACAGTGGGATGAAGGCTTAACTCAGTATGAAAGTAATGCATTTGAAAGCCAAGCTGATTCAAGGTACAGTATATATCTGAAGCAGTACAGTATATATCTGTGTAACAATGGCACAACACACTAGAGAGTGATGCTACCTGACAAATGCCCGCAGAGCGGGGACGCTAGCGAAGTAGTTCCAATATACGCTAAACTTAATTGCTTCATCTCACGCACAAACGGGACGACTATATGATTCATGCAGGGGTGGTATCCGGTTTTCACTGAGGAAAGTTAGCAGTACTAAGCATGCAAATGCTACTTGACACCACGTTGGAGATATATGGGTATCATTGAAGGGATATCAACCAGGGCCTCGTTCCACAATGCGATCGCAGCTCTAAGACGCTCGTAACTTCCACACTTTAACATCGAGTTGTCAGTCGTAGCGGTAAGATGGCTTTGTGGAACGGGGCCTTGGTTCCAATACCACGAAGCATGTATGCCTGGCGTGAGCAGTGCGAATTGACAGGAGTGGAGAAACGTTGAGAATCTTTTTTTCAACATCGTGAAAAGAGTTTGCCACCGTGTTCACACTGAATATACGAGGTGTACTAACTGTTCACGTTCCCGGTAAACCACGTGACCAAGACGTAAAGAAGTGGAGATCAGTAGAGACACGTTAGCCTTATTTGACACAACGTTTAAATATGTTTATCTTCTTGCAATTTTTCTGTCACATGTACAGTGAAGAATGAATTGGTGCAATAGCCGTTCATGTACTTTCACAAGTTCTATGCAAGAAGAGGATGACGGGCGGATGACACATGTACCAATGCGACAACACATGTTGGGATAGAGTGAAGGAGACACAGACCATGTCTCCTCGAGGTCATGCGTTATGGCATGCAACAGGTAATACCAGTACGGGATGAGGTGGGTGTCCATGCGCGGGGGTCTACTCAGTAACATAGCCAGAGACATAATCGACTACTCTTTAACATGGGAGTGAATTACCGTAAATAACACCACTTGTGTTTCGGTGTTTTCCTGCTTCATCTGAAATCAGCGTTAAATTAGACTTACTGTTGGTCGTCTGGCTAAATAACATTCTTGAAATATGAATCCAAAATTATGTAAAAGCTTTCCTTGGAGGATTTGTGGTCAGAGCCGTAGTGTTTTGCTTATTCCCCGAATCTCAGATTATATACTTATGGAAAAACATAAGATAAACATTCATGAATTACCCACTGATTGTTACAGCTTTGTTAAAGATGCTTCATGTAAACTAAGTGGCTTGGTGAACGTTACTGGCTGGTGTGTTTCTACATCGTGAAACATGCGCTGGCACTTCGTACTCAAAGACACGTTACCACAATAAACGTATGTACCCTTATTTCGCGTCGTCAGTATGTATGGCTTCATGAGGCTGGATTAACTCCCATGTCTATTTTTCTGAGGCTATTGCACTGATATTGAAAACAGATTGGAGATAAATGCTTATTAGTATAGTTATAATAATAACGACAATACATTTTCTATTTATAAATGTTGTCTTACCTGGATTCACGTTGTTTGGGCTCTCCGAGACTGGAATATAAAGTCACGTGATGAACTATATGTCGCGATATATGAACGAGTGACTTGTACAGATTTATGTAAGCAGTTGTCCTTGATATTTCGTGCTGCAAATGTCAAACACCTATGTTATTAACTTGGTAATTGACGTGAAAAAACGAGACACGCGTTCATTGCTGATGGAATATTTATATTTGAACAAGACATGGTGCTCAGAGATAACGAAAGTAGAGCATATATTATATTCATGATTAACTTGAATTATTAAAAAATGTCTTTTGAATATATAATCGTATGAGACGAAAAAATGGAATCGAGTACAATGTTTAAATGGCTACCGAAATAACATGGCCTTGATGACCCACAATGCCTGATAGAGCAGGAGCCGGTTAATTACATGTACAGACACAGATGTCGCTGCAGTCGACTGACCTTCCACGGTGAGGTAGACATGATGTCGGAGATGGCGGGCCTGAGAGCTCACCTGGCATTCGTACATGCCTTCATCATCCACTCGCACGCGCTTTATCAACAGATTCCAGTTCTGATGAAGTGGCGTGTGTTCTATCATGACTCTTTTGTCGTCAACAAATGTCCGTTTACCAATGGTAAGTGGATTGGACTCCGAGCCCCGTCGCCAAATCACCTGTAATAAAAACAGTGGGATTCAAATCATTTATTTATGACCTACACAACCATCAACTGATGTGACACTTTGAAAGATATTATTGGAATATGTGTGACTTTATACATACCTCAGATTCCTAACTGACTTCACGTGACCTGATGTATCGTGTCACTGTACTCACACTGGATATTACTCGTGTGGTGATATGATACATAACGTTATTGGCAGGGTATGGAATGCTATCTCAGCGATGATAGTTGACTGAAAGATATTGATTTGCAAAGCATCGTGAGTGGGTGAGTTGGGTTTTACACCACTTTTAGCAATATTCCAGCAATATCACGGAGGGGGAGACCAGAAATGGGCTTCACACATTGTACCAATGTCGGGATTCGACTCACTCACTAACTGGCATGTTGTTCGCAATGGTTCATTGTGCATGGTGTACTGAGGTGTCACGCACCCTACATCCTACAGTATATACAGGATTTACTATATACATGTGCCAACTATTTTCCCGCTGAACAAAAATTCACTTTGTGTTTAATCTTTAATGCTCATACGTATAGTGTTAAATAGATAATGTTAGTCACGACCAATAAAGCTTTCCACTAGTGAACGACTCAAGAGAGATAACACTAATCTACCCATGGTAATCTTCAACCACTATATTTCTTGCTTAGTTGTCGTCTCAGTGGACCGGGAAATGTCAAACGGATACTAGGAAAATGCCACTAGCAGAAATATTTATATACTAAAAGATAAGGACATCTAATGAGTAGTTAATCTACAACATTAATTAACCTTCTCGATTCAGTAAGACGTTTGGAAACTAGATTTCCAATATCTACCCACCAGGTTCTATCTGAGTTGGTATCGGACCATCAGCGATAACACTTCTCAACTCAAATACCTGTATGACCGCCACCGTGGTCTACTGGTAGAGCGTTCGCCCGGAGAACGGAAGGTCGAGGGTTCGATCCCCGGCCGCGTCATACCAAAAGACGTTAACAGATGGTATTTGTTGTTACCATGCCCGGCGCTCGGCATTAAGAGCCAAAAACAAGGACTGGACGGCTCGGGGTCAGTATACTGTGTCTGAGTTAGGAATTCATGTTCAACTGCGGCATGGTGTGCTAGCACTATATATCGGCATCAGTCCGGACTAGTACAAGGAGCCACACACACACACACACGTGTATGCACGTCGCTATAAAAGTGCAATAATCTTGGACGCGACCCCTATACAGTGTTATGCTCAAATTAAACCACCCCTTGACTTGAGCAGCTGGACTGGCTGGAGAATGACACCCGTTTACCCATATGAATGGTTGATATTGAAATCGTTGGCAAGGAGTCGAGTTTCAAATGCGTTCGCGACCCGTGAAGATCTGGTGTAGAATAGGTCTTCAGTAGCCCATGCGTGCCGTAAAAAGCGACTATGCTTGTCGTAAGAGGCGACTAACGGGATCGGGTGGTCCGGCTCGCTGACTTGGTTGATGCATGTCATCACTGGCTTGTCTAAGTCCAGACTCGATTATTTTCAGCCAATATCAATATTTACAGCCCGCTGTCGCATAGCTGGAAAATTGCGGGGGTGGCGTAAACAACAAACAAACCAACACACGTATTCGCATCAAATTTGGTAATCACATGTATGAAAACATAAGAACACCCCTTTGGTTTGAAGGGTGTGAGGTATTGTGCACGAACACATTTGACTCTGGCGCTGAGCACTCACCTTCCTGCATGAACCCAAATTCAACAAAGAAAATGCAAGTGAAGACGTTGAATGAGGAAGAGCTTGGCATTAAATACGTCCGACAAGCCTCCTGCAGATGCACCTGCACGCCACCTGTTCGATGACATAGTGCAAAGTTCCAGATGTAACGCATGACTGTCTGGATCTTGACGGGATGCACATGAGTGTAATTTTAGCAAGAACTTTTCCTCCTGTGTAGTGTTGTAGTTTTTTTGTCAACCGGTCTTGTTTATTGATTAGCCACATGATATATGGCAACCCAGTTTGGACTTTGAATACATGGCCTTGTGATTACATTGGTTGGAGGTTGTTATAGGTGTATAGGCCATCCCCAAGTAAACATGCACTTTAAGGAGGGATATTGAATAAATAACTGAAGAAAACCACGTGAACAGTGAACACGAGCCGAGACGGTTCAGGATTTTGTATAGAGATGATGACTGGATGATACGACGTATGGAAAACTGTGTGTTCGTTACATAGGTTGACATTTCGTCTTTTCGCCAGTTGGGTGAAGCACTGGGTCGCTGGATTGATGGAACACTGGGTCTACAGATGGATGGAGCAATGTGTACCTAGATGGAAGGACATCTGGGTGTCAAGATTTATGGAACACCGTGTCCTTAGATGGATGGCACACTTGGTCGCAAGATGGATGGAACACAGTCGTTAGATGGACGGAACACAGTCGTTAGATGGATGGAACACTATATAAGGTTGTAATGGGGGAATATGTAGATAGATAGATCGAACACTGGGTCACTAGATTGATGGGGGAATATGTACCTAGATAGATCGAACACTGGGTCACTAGATGGGTGGGGGAATATGTACCTAGATAGATCGAACACTGGGTCACTAGATGGATGGGGGAATATGTACCTAGATAGATCGAACACTTTGTCGCTAGATGGGTGGGGGAATATGTAGATAGATAGATCGAACACTGGGTCACTAGATTGATGGGGGGATATGTACCTAGATAGATCGAACACTTTGTCGCTAGATGGGTGGGGGAATATGTACCTAGATAGATCGAACACTTTGTCGCTAGATGGGTGGGGGAATATGTGCCTAGATAGATCGAACACTGTGTTACTAGATGGGTGGGGGAATATGTACCTAGATAGATCGAACACTGGGTCACTAGATGGGTGGGGGAATATGTACCTAGATAGATCGAACACTGGGTCACTAGATGGGTGGGGGAATATGTACCTAGATAGATCAAACACTGGGTCACTAGATGGGTGGGGGAATATGTACCTAGATAGATCGAACACTGGGTCACTAGTTGGGTGGGGGAATATGTACCTAGATAGATCGAACACTGTGTCGCTAGATGGGTGGGGGAATATGTACCTAGATAGATCACTAGATGAAAGGAACTCTGGGCCGGTAGATGATGTTGTAACACTGTCGTTAGATGGATGGAACACTGGATCTACAGAATGATAGAACACAGGGTCACTAGATGGATTGAACACTGGATCTACAGAATGATAGAACACAGGGTCGCTAGATGGATGGAACACTGGATCTACAGAATGATAGAACACGGGGTCGCTAGATGGATGGAGCAATATGTACCGCGACCGCTGGAACACTGACTCGCCAGATGGATGGAACAACATGTACCAAGATGGATGGAACACTGTGTCGCGAGAACGATGGAACACTGGGTCGCCAGATGGATGAAGCAATATGTACCTCGACTGACGGACCACTTTGTCTCTTGATGGGTGGAACACTGTGTCGCTGGATGGATTGAACACTTGGTCTCTTGATAGATGGAACAATATGTACCTCGACTGATGGAACACTGGGTCGCCAGTACATATCGCCAGTGGGATGGAACAATAAGTACCAAGATGGATAGAACACTGTCGCTAGAACGATGGAACACTGTGTCACTAGATAAATGGAACACTGGGTCGCCAGATGGATGTAACAATAAGATGGGTACTAAGATGGATGGAACACTGGGTCGCTGGATGGATGGAGGAATATGTACCTCGACTGATGGAACACTGGGTCGCTAGATGAATGGAACAATGTGTACTAAGATGGGTGGAACACTGGGTCGCTGGATGGATGGAGGAATATGTACCTCGACTGATGTACACTGGGTCGCTAGTAAATGGAACAATGTATACTAAGATGGGTGGAACACTGGGTCGCTGGATGGATGAGGCAATATGTACCTCGACTGATGGAACACTGGGTCGCTAGATGAATGGAACAATGTATACTAAGATGGGTGGAACACTGGGTCGCTGGATGGATGAGGCAATATGTACCTCGACTGATGGAACACTGGGTCGCTAGATAGATGGAAAAATATGTTCTAAGATGGGTGGAACACTGGGTCGCTGGATGGGTGGAACACTGTGTCGCTGGATGGGTGGAACACTGGGTCGCGAAATGGATGGGACACTGTGTAGCGGGAATAGTGAATGTTCGCAGGAATGATAAAACCCTGTGTGAGGATTGATTGAGGCGCAAGCTCTTCTGTGTTGCAAGTTGACGATAACAATGAAATGCAGCAGGTTGCTGTGCATGGACTCAACACGCGTGGGGGATATTAATATGCGACCACGGGCACTGACATGTACTTAACATGTCTACCAGTAATCTACACAAAAATAGATCAGCGACTCAGTCCGTGCCAATAATGAAATTGTCTGCCATCTTACATGGAGAGTAGACCAGAGTTTCAGGGGTGATCTATAGCACTTTCCTAGTCATCAGCGAGGTAACAGTACATAGTTGTCCACTACTCTCTGGTTAGGGCATCGCGGGGCTTCAAGCTAGTCGACTAATGATGTCAGTTTCAAGGAACTAAAATCTGTCTTGAAATTGACAACTCATTCAACGAATCAATATCAAATCATTTCTCCCCTCCTCGGTGACATGACCCGCGGTACTGTAAATCTTTGCATACACTAATAACATTTACCTAGTCGCTGCGTCTATCAAAAGGATAAACACAGACTGCCAATAAAACAACACGGGGCCACAAATGACCAGGCAATGCTATTAACAGGGCCAAGACAGTCATGTCAACGGAGAAACACGCATCCATTCATTCATCATGAAAGATCAGGTGAACGCGTGTCCTGCCATAGATTAATAGACATGGCCCAAGACAGTGGCCCAAGCTCTGGGTGACCAGACTTCCTGACTGGCGCGTCAAAGGATCAGTGCTGTCTCTGAAGGGAACAGCAACAACAACGCATTACATATGTTCAGTGCATTACGTCTGAGTTTTACTTACTACATTAACCTGATATATTGGAGAATGACACTTTATGGGATCCGAGTCAAAGCCAATGTCTAATATCTGTGTTTCACTTCCAGAGTGACATTATGCCGCAGTGGTCCAGAGTGACATTATGACACAGTGGTCTAGAGTGACATTATGACACAGTGGTCTAGAGTGACATCATTGCACAATGGTCTAGAGTGACATTATGCCACAGTGGTCTAGAGTGACATTATGACACAGTGGTCTAGAGTGACATCATTGCACAATGGTCTAGAGTGACATTATGACACAGTGATCTAGATTGACATTATGCCACAGTGGTCGAGAGTAACATTATTGCACAGTGGTCTAAAGTGACATTATTGCACAATGGTTAAGAGTGACATTATGCCACAGTGGTCTAGAGTGGCATTATGACAGTGATCTAGGCTGACATTATGCCACAGCGATCTAGAGTGGCATTATGACAATGTTCTAGAGTGACATTATGCCACAGTGGTCTAGGCTGACATTATTGCACATTGGTCTAGGGTGACATTATTGCACAATGGTGTAGAGTGACATGATGCCGCAGTGGTCTAGAGTTGCATTATGGCACCTAGGTCTAGAGTAGCATTATGACACCGTGGTCTAGAGTGACATCATTGCACAGTGGTCTAGCGTGACATTATTGCACAGTGGTCTAGAGTGACATTATGACACAGTGGTCTAGCGTGACATTATGACACAGTGGTCTAGAGTGACATTATGACACAGTGGTCTAGAGTGACATTATTGCACAGAGGTCTAGAGTGACATTATTGCACTGTGGTATAGAGTGACATTATGACACAGTGATCCAGAGGGGTTTAAGACAATGTGATCCGATCTTCTAACATTCTAAATTAACGTCTATTTTTGACTGAAGAAGATTAGCCAAACATTGTTTAATTCAGTAAATCTCAAATTTGTTTTGTATTCTTATAAAGTTACTATGAGTATAAACAGTTCCTCTTTCACGAATTACACCGCGAGAAGGACGCACCACCTCCAGCACCTCCAGCACCTCCACCACCTTCGCTCAGTATTCAGGGAATGGTGGTGTTGATACGAGGCATGCATTAAGTGCCAAGTTATGGATGAATATAATCTAGCACTGACGCCGAACTTGTTGATATATTAATGTAGCATAACAAAACACCAAGCAGTCGCGGCAATTACCACCCGTGTACAATGTTATGCATGTGACCGCTTTCAGTAGCACAGTGCGTTATTGATCTCGTGTTAACGAGAGAGTTTCATGATCAAGTCACGTGACTATCAACTCCTAATGAGATTTAATGATAACGTATTATTCATATTTTGTTTTTTTAAAACAGGTCACCACATTAATTCACTTTATTATTTTCTGTAGAACGGCTAAACGTGAGATGTTCCAGTTGTGGGGCAGTCTATTGTTAATTTATGTAAGTGCAAGTTGGAAGGTTCTCTTCCCGAACATCTGGCGTCGTCACAGTTGTCAGTATTAGTGCTGTTTCGATGCCTCGCCCCGTGTGGCAGGATACTGATAGGCTTGATGTTGGTTTGCTGCGGGTTTCTATTCAAGAATTTGCCTAAAGTTCTACTTTAACACTTTAAAAACGTCACATTCTGTTTCGTCATAAATATTCGTAGATTTCAGAGAATAATTTGTTTTTGCTTGAGAAAAAATGATGTAAAATGAAAACATGGCTTTACTTTGCCGATGGGTAATGCGTAGCAATAGTAGAGTGTAATACCTGCCAATAGTATTGACCTAATCTAGTAAACGTTTGAAAATCTATTGCCACAAAACAGAGGATGATTATCGTTATTGAACAGCAACATTTACATTGCGTTTCGGGAGTGTTTGATTGCATGTTAATCTTGAAGTTACGAATGACGAATAAGTGCAAAAAAATGAGGTGTTTTTTATGGAGATACACCGATGACACATGTCGACAGATAATATTACCGGTTTTTACATATGTTACGTTACTTTTCTTAGTGATCAGAGAATAAGCTAACGTTGACACCATTGTAGTGAAGAGTTCTGAAGTTTCTGATAGTGACACCTCAAGCAATATTCATTGCCACAAACCAAATCAATTGATGTACATAAATCGTTTACGTTGAACAGCAATACACGTTGAAGTGGTTGGATGAAAGGAACACCTGAAGGGAAGTCAAGATGTCTGCAGCTTCTAACGGAGAGTCTACATGTAACACAAGGCCTGTTTGATATATGTAAAGAGTTAGATTAGCACTGTGTGATCTGTCAAGAGTGGACCATGTTTTCTTTGTTGTGCAAGGCCGCACTAGAGTCAAAGAAGCCACTGAACCTTGACCACCCTATCCATTTCAGTATCAGTAGCACACGACCTGAATGTTTTGTGTGAATGTTTACAACACTGTACGCACATGGATTGAATTATATGTTGAGTATGCGAAAAGGAGAAGATAGATTGAAGGATGTTTGTGATGAGTGAGTGAGTGAGTGAGTATGGTTTTACGCCGCTTTTAGCAATATTCCAGCAATATCACGGCGGGGGACACCAGAAATGGACTTGACACATTGTACCCATGTCGGGAACCGAACCCAGGTCTTCGGCGTGACGAGCGAACGCTTTAACCACTAGGCTACCCGACCGCCCCTGTTTGTGATGAAAGAAGAAGAGTAGATGGATTGAAGGCTGTCTGTAATGTACGAACAGGAGCAGATGGATTGACGGATGCGAGTAGTGCAGGAAAAAGAGCAGAAGGGTTGAAGGGTGTGTGTAGTGTACGGAAAGGGGCAGGTGGATTGAAGGATGTGTGTCGTGTAGAAAGAAAGACAGGTGGATTGAAGGATGCGTCTATTGTACGAACAGGAGCAGATGGATTGACGGATGTGTGTAGTTCATGAACAGAGGCAGATTGATTGAAGGATGTTTGTAGAAAAAGGAGCAGATGGATTGACGTATGTTGAAAGTGTACGAATAGGAACAGATGTATTGCAGGATGTGTGTACTTTACGAACAGGAGCAGATGGGTTGAAGGATGTGTGTAGTGTAGGAAAAGGAGCAGATGGATTGAAGGATGCGTGTAGTGTAGGAAGAGGAGCAGATGGGTTGAGGGATGGGTGTAGTGTAGGAAAAGGAGCAGATGGATTGAAGGATGCGTGTAGTGTAGGAAGAGGAGCAGTTGGGTTGAAGGATGCGTGTAGTGTAGGAAGAGGAGCAGATGGGTTGAAGGATGTGTGTAGTGTAGGAAAAGGAGCAGATGGATTGAAGGATGCGTGTAGTGTAGGAAGAGGAGCAGATGGGTTGAATATGTGTGTAGTGTAGGAAAAGGAGCAGATGGATTGAAGGATGTGTGTACTTTACGAACAGGAGCAGATGGGTTGAAGGATGTGTGTAGTGTAGGAAAAGGAGCAGATGGATTGAAGGATGCGTGTAGTGTAGGAAGAGGAGCAGATGGGTTGAAGGATGTGTGTAGTGTAGGAAAAGGAGCAGATGGATTGAAGGATGCGTGTAGTGTAGGAAAAGGAGCAGATGGATTGAAGGATGCGTGTAGTGTAGGAAGAGGAGCAGATGGATTGAAGGATGTGTGTAGTGTAGGAAGAGGAGCAGATGGGTTGAAGGATGTGTGTAGTGTAGGAAAAGGAGCAGATGGATTGAAGGATGCGTGTAGTGTAGGAAGAGGAGCAGATGGGTTGAAGGATGTGTGTAGTGTAGGAAAAGGAGCAGATGGATTGAAGGATGCGTGTAGTGTAGGAAGAGGAGCAGATGGATTGAAGGATGTGTGTAGTGTAGGAAGAGGAGCAGATGGGTTGAAGGATGTGTGTAGTGTAGGAAAAGGAGCAGATGGATTGAAGGATGCGTGTAGTGTAGGAAGAGGAGCAGATGGGTTGAAGGATGTGTGTAGTGTAGGAAAAGGAGCAGATGGATTGAAGGATGTGTGTACTTTACGAACAGGAGCAGATGGGTTGAAGGATGTGTGTAGTGTAGGAAAAGGAGCAGATGGATTGAAGGATGCGTGTAGTGTAGGAAGAGGAGCAGATGGATTGAAGGATGCGTGTAGTGTAGGAAAAGGAGCAGATGGATTGAAGGATGCGTGTAGTGTAGGAAGAGGAGCAGTTGGGTTGAAGGATGTGTGTAGTGTAGGAAAAGGAGCAGATGGGTTGAAGGATGTGTGTAGTGTAGGAAAAGGAGCAGATGGATTGAAGGATATGTGTAGTGTAGGAAGAGGAGCAGATTGATTGAGGGATGTGTGTAGTGTAGGAAGAGGAGCAGATGGATTGAATCCAATATATACAATGTATACTCTCTCTTACACTACACACACATCCGTCAGTTTTTGTGCTAATAGTCTTACATAAATCTTCCTTCAATTCATGTGAGTGAGTGAGTGAGTGAGTGAGCGAGCGAGTGAGTGAGTGAGTGAGTGAGTGAGTGAGTGAGTGAGTTAAAGAGTGAGTTAAAGAGTGAGTGAGTGAGAGTTCACAGACGTATACCACGTCAGTAAAGCACAAAAGCACGGGTATGTAGCTGATAAACCCGGAAGCATAATCGGGGCAAACCGAGATTTTGAAACCACAATCATATGTTTCTGTCGTGCTCGAGGAACGTAACTCTGCACAGCGAATTGCGACGAAATGTGGTGCCTTAGAATGATACTTGTTTTAGAATACTACCACATGGACTGCAGACTGCGTGGTGTGTATACTGTAAGAAGAGCAGCACACGGACTGCAGACTGCGTGGTGTGTATAATGTAAGAAGAGCAGCACACGGACTGCAGACTGCGTGGTGTGTATACTGTAAGAAGAGCAGCACACGGACTGCAGACTGCGTGGTGTGTATAATGTAAGAAGAGCAGCACACGGACTGCAGACTGCGTGGTGTGTATACTGTAAGAAGAGCAGCACATGGTCTGAAGAAGGTATATATGTGTACTCTATCGATATTTACCTTCTTGGTGCTCAGGTTGTCTACTGCGCACTCCAGCCGGGCCAGTTCTCCAGCTTTAAAAGTAAAATTACCCTTTGTTGGGATGAATTTCGGTAGAGGCACAAGTGTTGTCCCAATATAATCAAGACCGATGGCTGAAAAGAGATAAAAAGTCGTGCTAACATACAGAATATGCTGCATGTATTTTATCATTTACCCCATAACCGACCCCACAAACAATAAAACCTGATAGATATTGTGTTTCAACAAATGGTCAGGTTTAATATGATCTTGTTTTATGTAAGACACTGCTGTCATGTTCAACATGGGAATGAAATTGTCCTTGTGATGGTGGTGAATAGAACACACAACACGATGTTATTCATAACTATAACTACAACGTCAACTATAACTACAACGTCACTCATTCTTTCTGTAATATAATCGCCGGTAGTCAAGATGCAGAAAACAAGGTCGATAGACAGGGCACATTTAATGCGACCCATGCCGTGTCTACACCACAGCTGTTACTTATGTGTGGATGAGAAAGTAAATGTGTTCCGCTGCATTCGGCAATACAGTGACCTGTAATAAATCGAGTCTGGGGCAGATAAACCAATGGTTGATAGCAAGGATAACGCCCCACGTGATCCTACTCTGTTGACGAGACTCCACGAGACAAGGTGATGTATAGCTTCAGGTTGTGTATGATCAGCAGGTGCGTTCCTCTCGATGTGTAGTTCCGAGAAAAAGTGGCAAAACTCATTTTCATATATCACTAGAGGCAGCAGCATTAGATACGCACTGATCACCATGCATGGAATAAATTTGAATCTGTTAATGAACAAATTTTTTTGTTTTTTTTGTCTGCATGAGAATGTTGGAATATAGCAACTTGTTTGAAACATTGCTCAAAGGAACACTTGAAAGAGTTAGAAAAGCGTCACCATCATCAAGGAATATGATCTACGTATCGCCCTGTGAAGCAGTAGCTAGATTCTGGTAAACATATAGAACTATCATACGAATTCTTTTGAATAATTTTCAAAAGAAAATGCATTCAGCTACCAACCGGCAATTGCTTCGGGAATTTCCTGCATTCATATAGCACGAACGAATGTTAAGTTCACACATTTTATCAAACAGCTGTATGCTAGGATTTCCATGTTTTTTGTTTGTTTGTTGTTTAACGCCGCATTTAGCAATATTCCAGCTATATGACGGCGATCTGTAAATAAAGTCTGGACCAAACAATCAAGTGATTGACATCATGAGCATCGATCCACTCAATTGGGATACGATGACATGCATCATCTAAGTCAACGAGTCTGACCGCCTGATCCCTTTAGTCGCATCTTCCGACAAGCATATTCGCCTTTTACGGCAAGCATGGGTTGCTGAAGACCTATTTTAGGTCTAGGATTTTCTAAAAGGTCTTCAAAACGCATGTACTTGTGACCATGGCAATTTTCACAATGACCGCTGAATGACGAGAAAATTCCCAGTAAGGCCAATCTTAGACTAACATGTGGTCTCTGAAATGAACATATTGTACAGAAAAAACAGTTGTTCAATTATCTTAATAAAAATATAATAAAAGGGAGCCCAGAGACTCTCCTCATTTTCAGATACTGATACTGCAGTAATCTAGACTTGCCAAACATTATAGACTTGCATGGGCCGTATTTGGTATATATTTGTAAGACAGACTAGGCCAATCTCTGTGGCCTGGTTTGAGGGTCGGGACATAGGTAATGCCAGACATCGATGAAGATTGGTGATGATGACAAACACTGGCATAGTTGGTCCAGTCAGCGTCATGCAGATCGGGATGCATGTAAAATGCTGATTAGTGTCACGTTTTTTATTAAACGTGTATTCCTCTTAAAGAGAAAAATGAAAGGATGGCTAACCAATACATACAGAACAACATATTCAAATAAAGTAGACTGTATTTATGAATATATCTCCTCGGCGCATTTTCCACTGCAGAATCAATACTCAGCGGCCTGAGCGCTAATCGTCTGTAAAACCGACTCATGATAAACTGTTAGAAACGAAACGGATTTGGCATCTTGTTGTAAAATCAATTCTAATTTATTTTTTGTGCAACAGAAAACTTGATCTTCTGTTTCTATTTCCGACAGTTAGGGCCGCTTAAGACAGGGCCTGAGTTCCATGTAGGGGAAAATCAAACTGTAAAGTCGGTGCAGAAATTCAATTTAAAGCCGAATTTTCTTTTGTTATGGAAAAAATTGACATGTTCCACCTGTTAAAGTAATCATTATCAGGCACTCCGTTGGCATGATATACATGTATGATTGATGTGAGGGGCCTTGTCGCCTCAAGGAAATGTTACACTCTAGTCTAGGCTACCTGTACCAAACTTATACTGCCAAAAGCCATAGAAAGATTAAAAAACAAATCTCTAAGTCCATAGCATGAAAAACGTTCCCTTGCCAACCCCAAACCTTGCTCTCAATTTCAGTAATGACAAAATTGAATACCAATTGTAAAATGTTCTTGCAGTGTTAAGAAACAGCAGCGCCGTCGCCGCGCCGATCTTCAGGCCCAGGGGAAAACGCCGCCGTTTACCCCAATCGATACTGATAGGAAGGAGAGCTAGCCTTTTGCTCTCTCTCTTCAAAGATCAGAGGGGACTTGAAATCTAGTCGTGTTAATTTCACAAGTCAGCTGATAGTTCATTAAAGACGAATTGTGGAACTGAGGCATTAGTCAGTGTCCACAGACATTCGAGCACCTCCGATATGAAGTTTCGGGTTACCAGGAGCAATTGACTGCCCATTATTGATTTCACAAGGGAGAAAAAAGAAAGGTCCCTAAACTGGGTCTCGCATTGCAATAAAGAAACTCCTTTTTGTTAGTTTGCTACAGTTTTTCTCCGGGTGTTTGTTTTCGCTTACCGCCATCATTGAATCCGCTGAGGGCAAGAATATGGATCGCTTGCTCGTTTTGGAAAGTTGAAAGGCTTCGTGGGTTAGGCGAACCACAGGAATAGCTGCCTATCCGTATCCGCTGCTGTTCTTAATGCAGCAAAAACACGTGCAATCATGTTAAGGAATCGAACATTGGATGTCCTTGGGGAGGTGGAGGGTGTAGAAGATTAAATATTTCTTACCAGGGTTTTCTATAACAACTTTTTGTAGTCTGGTAACACCACTGATCATTTTGAGTAAAACCTCCTTAAGTGTGAATGTTCGAATGTATAAAAGTATACAACGTGTCGTTTCTTCTAAACTTGTTATGCATGTAAGTATACACTTGAGATAACCATTTCTAGCATTTGTTTGTTTGTTGTTTTACGCCTAGACTAACACTCAGCCCGTGAAAACATGTCTTTAAAATATTTTTTTTTAAATTCGAAAGAACCTTTCCTCTACTGTTGTTTTCATAGTGGAATCAGAAAAACTAAACTTGGTTAGTTTGATTTAGACTTGCCCAGGCGTTTAGTAAAAAAATACCTAAAAAATATAAATTCCACAGTCATGGTGCAGGACTATATAACGCCGCACTCAGCAATATGTCAGCTATATGACGGTCTGTAAATAATCGAGTCTGGACAAGACACTCCAGGGATGGACATGCATCAGCCAAGTCAGGGAGCCTGAACATCCGGTCCCGTTAGTCGCCTCTTACGACAAATATGGGTTGCTGAAGACCTATTCTAAACCAGATCCCCGACTATGTTTACTTACATAATGTCAAACTCTCGTTATCATTCCTTCAATAACCTTTGTTCTCCAAACCTCCGGATCAGACAATCAATGTCGAATGTCGATTATTTTTAATGTCATCATGATAATTTGTTGTCATTATAATACAATGATACATAATTTTACATCTCATTATGTTGCAGAAAACATGACTTTAAGATGACAGAAAATGCTTTGACATGTCAAATTAGGCGTCCCGATGTATGTAATTCCATGACATCTGTCTCATGTGTCCTTACTACCGTACAACCTCAGCGGCCGAGTTTACACACACAGGCCAACGTGTTCAACGTTCCTTCCAGCATAGTCGTTCATTACGCCTCACACCAATACGTACCGTAGGATGAGTGGCATGGCGGCAAGCGGTGAATACACTCGTTGTATGGACAAAAGCTGTGTAATTGAAATGTCTGATTTACCAATGTAATTTTTTGGGAGATCAAATCGGACATTAATGGCAGGATAACAAAGGCTGAACTTGTCAATATCACACGCCGAGACATGGTTTAGCACTCATTGCGATCTGCCTTCACACAGAAACCGAAACATTGAACACAGTGCCTGGTGTTGTTCCAACTGTGCAGTCTGACAAGTCCATACCTAATGAGCTCAATAGAGTAAAAGCTTGTGTAGAAACAGACCGACAATTGATTGTTGTGTATAATACGTGCATTAATGCATTTGTTGATGTTTTTATCTAGAACCTATAAAATGTGATTTTATGTTATTGGTATTTCGTAAAGCCTTTCAACCCCCTCTCAGCTAAGCATCTCGCTGTGTTAGTGCATTCCGTGGTACTAATCGTAATTATATTTGCTTAGGAGTAGTTACTGTACCTTTACCACAACATTATCATTTAGTGGATTGTCTAAATATGAATCAATGTTATTGGTACAACTCGCTGTCAAGTCAAAAACAGATAGTCCATAACAAGAGCCCTATAATACATCATTAACGTTAACGTGTGTGTGTGTGTGTGTGTGCGTGTGTGCGCGTGTGTGTGTGTGTGTGCGTGCGTGTGTGCGTGCGTGCGTGTGTGTGTGTGTGTTTGTGTGTGTGCGTGCGTGCGTGCGTGTGTGTTAAAAGCCTCTTTCATTCATTTACACATGCACCTCTGTCGATTGTAGACTTATTTTTACCAGGTTAAATTACTTTGAAATTCTTTCCAGTGCTCGACTTAATCTAATCAATTCTAAAAACGGAATTCCAGTTGTGCAGTAGACATTCTTCACGGTCTAAACATGCCGCTCTGAAACCAGACCTGTTCTGTGAATTACTATTACATCCGAAAGAAGACACTCAACTTGCAGTATATTGTAGGTTTGATTAATGTTTCTGGTGAAGCGGTATTGATAGCAGACCATTTGGAAAGAAAGTGTAATTCAAAAACATAAAACAGGCACTTATTTTGGAAATATTTA